AAATTGAATTGAAGGAAACAATTTGTCCAACTTACCAGGAGATTGTAGCGGGTGAGCAAAATGAAATAAGGAAGATGGAGAAGGAATATGGAGATCTCTCAACAGCATTAGCAATACACGAAGATTATCTGCACAAAGAAATTGACAAACTTTTCAATAAATTAAAGGCTAAAACAAGTGAAATGAAAAACAAACAGTTACACACTTTACAGAAACATTTGAAGGATATTAACAAAAAGCTTATTGAGATTGATGATGAAATTGATGGAATTGATAAAGCTTTAGGCTCCAACGACATTTCAACGATTTTACAAGTACTACATAGCTCCAAAATAGAACAGCATAAAAAACTTCCAAATAAGCTTGTCCCCTCTCCACCAAAATTCACTCCAGGGAAAATTCAAGAAGAAAAACTGTTAAAATATGTTGGAACTTTATCAACATATAATATTACAACAGAAAAGCGTGGTTACAGCATAAAAGCCGCACATGACCCACTAGACTTTGATACTTTTCACCAATGACATCAAAATCAAGGGAAATTTATTTCCCTAATACAGTCTCAATGGAATCACCGGAAGCAGAATCCTCCCCTCATATCTCTCTGAAATCACCAGGAGCCGGATCCTTTCCTCAAGTTTCAAAGAAATTGCCAGCAGATGCTAGATCCTCTCCTCATGTCCCAAAGAAATTTCCTGCAGACGAATCACAATCACCAGATTTGGGATCTACGACCATGTAGGGTGTCCGTAGATACAGATGAAAAGTCATAATAGCAGAATCATATTCAATCTTTTCAGGGTGCTGAAAAAGTAATTCATGTATTGAAATTAATCCTGATAATATTCCTAATTTTTCAAATGTACACAAAATATCTATGTCGTGCTTACTTTTATATAGAAAAAGGAAGACTGAAAATGAAAATTATGAATTGCAAAGACAATCTACGATTTCTTTATATTTTTTCAAATTTATTATTAATGTCATTGCTATTCAAATACAGTAAAAAAAAATATGGAATAAATACAATAGCTACCCAAAATACGGCATACAACCGGCCTATAAAAATGTTCCAACCCACTTTATACCACATAAAAATATATTAAATTCATTTCAAAAGATTTCATTCGTGTTCTTTTATCAAAGGAAAGTTGACATTAAAATTGCTTCAAATTGAACAAAATTTGAAAGTGCGATCGGATCCACGAAGTCATTGTGATGTTACAGTAGACAACACAATTCATATGATAGACAGGAAATTTTCATTCAATCGTAAGCCGCGTAACAACAAGATTTGACTTGATAACATATAATCAATCTATCAAATTTGTGTCTGTGTAATTTATCTTCAATATGAACATATGTATATATACGAGATGTTAGTGGAGAGTAAGATTATCAAATTGATAAATATAATTAGCCGGATGAGTAAATATAACTTTGAGTGAATTTTCTATGGTTGGAAGTGCAATGCATATTTTAAAAACGTGAAAAAAAATTTTTAAAACCCAGAAAGAACACGTTGTTTTTTTTTGTTGGTGTTTTTTTTAGTAGTAAATGTCGTCTAATTTTTAGTAAGGATTTTAGTTTTGACATTTTTAGAGAGACTGCCAAGATCGCTAAAATTTAAAATCGCAAAATATTAATTGTACTTTATTCGTAAAAGCTTCTTTAGTGAGCTTTTTAAAATCGCTAAAGTTGTATCTCCCTTATAAAAAAAAATTTATGGACAAATCGCTAACTTTGCGTGTCGCTATAATTTACACTTATGTTATATGGTATTCAAAACAGAAGTTTTTTCAGGATATACAAAGAAAAAAATGTGAACATCAGGAGTATTTATCATCAACGCTATTTATAATTGCGCTATAAATATGCTATGACAGGTATGGTGGGAAATGCTTCAAATCAGACCGTCAGACCCCGGACCCTCTGAATTTCCCGTCAGGTGCTCACCCAACCGAGGTATCTGGCCGGCAGCGATCGAATCTGACCACTACTTTCCTCTCTCCGTGTATTTTGCCTTCAAAAACAATAACCCAGGCTCTCCCCTACCAGTGCTTTCTCCTTTCACTTTCTGAGTGCATGACACAGCACCACAATTAAAGTTCACAGGAAGCAGAAATAAATGCTGTACAATAAATATGGCCACCAGTGATCAAACCTGTCTATAGTACTACATAATAACTCCAATATCTATAGATGTAGGGAATTAAAGTAATACAAAATGCTTATTCAAACAGTGTTTCTTTTTTTTTACCTTGGATCAACAGGGCTCAAATGGTCTTAAATTAGATGTGACACCTCTTTTTTCCTGAAAAACACCCACTTCCAGAAGTTTCCTTTAAAGTTGATTTTTTTTTCTATAGAATAACCCTCTTAAGGGTAAGGGATTTATATGCAAAGTAATGTTAATTTGTTTAACTTACAATGTTTCCAATACTTGATTGATGCAATAAAAAAAAACTGGTAATGGATTCAACACCCTTGGTTGTCATCTTTGGATTGAATAGTTTAAATTTTGGAATGCAAGAACAAAATTATGAATGTTTCAAAGTCAAAATTTAATTACCAAAACGTAAACCAGATATATCCCAGCTTTTATAGTTTGAGAGGCCTGTTTGCTCTGTTCCCAATATCTTTTTTTTTTCATTGGATATATTAGCTTACATACTACTATAAACCACCTTTATTCGCATGCTAGAAATTTTGGCGCGAGCCTCGTCATCGCGAATATTTTCTTCCGCGAACCAGTCCTTAAAATCTCTGTGTATATTAACAGATAAAAAAAAACTTGGTCGCAAAGATTAATGGTCGCAGACTAGTTTAACCCCGGTAAATTGCGAAATAAAGTCGTCCCAAATAAAGTTAGTTCACAGTTTTTGTTGGATCTCCAGATTCCATCCTAGTAGATATCCTTTGTCCTTACAATAAATGCTCTTCATAAAACGTTTTTTTAAATTACAAAAGTAACCAAAAAGGCATTTTAATCTTATCTGCAGCGCTGCTCAAAAACGTGAAAAAATGTCTTACCAACTTTAAAATAATGCTTGTTTTCCCTTTGTCGATTCAGATCGGTTGGTAGATGAAAAATAATCCCAGGAAATTTTGAACACCAATCCTATTAACTCCAAGTTTTGAGTTCGTGTTTAAATGAGAAGTAGATAGAGGATCTAATAGTATGTAAGGTATGAAAAAACTATATTTTCGAAAAATATTTTTGTTTTGTCCCTAAACTTTTCTCTGGAACATACTTAGAAACACTACACAGACAAATAATATTGAATAATTGTTCATTTTGTACGACCGTTGGAATATTATCATAAGTGCAATACAAAAAAATTGTTCAAAACTTATTCTAAAAAGGTTAATAAATTGATCAGAGAGGAAAATAGATTTATATAAATAATCCAACTAGAAAAAATCTGATTGGGCGAAAAAGAGTTATTTGGTCATGTGAGAAAAAAAAGCATATAGGCATACCAGATACCTGAGTAATTTTAGTATAAATTCATCTGAAAAGTGTAGTGTAAATCTACAGTATACGATCGTATTATCTGTTATGTTTATATTTGACTTTAAAATCTAAAATCAAAGTTCATTGTATGTACATTCACATATATTCAATGAGTATTAAAACCCCTTCTATTCTGTATTAGTCTTTCATCCCAAATCATCCAAAGTATTGTCAGTTAACAACAATATAATGTATTTGTTTCTCTCGGTTAGTCTCTTTTTAATTCAGTTTTCCCCGTATACATAAAAAAGCACATCTATCATTTATAAACCAAGGCACTTAAACTTTATCCCTAAATTACCATGAGGATTATGTAAAAGCCAATCAGATCTCACATCTCTGAACAATTGTTCGCATATTATCAAGGCCAATGCATCTCTTTTTTCTATTCTTTTGTCTTTTTCCTACATGTAAGGTGTTCAAGCAAATGCATATGTAAAAAAAATGTTAAAACAAAATTATACTAAGCAACAAAATTAAGGAGAGACTATTCGATCGCATCATATAAGTATTTCTTTAATACCCAAATATAGACTGGTAGATATTTTTTTGCAAGATTTCAAATACTGTATACAGAACTATTTTTGCCCCGCTTGATTTTCGTCATTTCAAACTTGCAAACAATGTTGACCCATTTTAAATTCACCAAATCACAGTTTTGTTTAAGAAATTAGATTTTACAATATGAATTCTTCCCTTTTTAAATTCGTCCAAACGAGGTTAGAGCGAAAAGGGAAAGAAGAAACGAGGCGAAAATGTCCCTGTATGCAGTATCATATACCTATTGTTAATTGCTATTTCTGGTTCTGTCCTTTTACACCAATTGAAATTTAAAAACTGCTATAACTGGCCCTTCCCTCATGTTCGGATAAGGTTATATGGACAGGTCTATTATCAATGGAAATTTTCATTATTATATCGATGAATCATGTGGAGATAACGAAAAGTTAACGAACGACTCTGCTCCTATTTTGTATTTTTTTTATGGACTTCTGATCTTCAATACTGCTCATTATCTTAAGATTTAAGTAACGATGCAAGTTATATTTGGTTCAAAATCAGTGAATTACATTTTGATTCTTTAAACTACTTAAACTCAAAAATGAAAGTAATGCAAAATATTACTGATCCAAAATATACAGATTTATTCAACATCACAACGTGCATTTACCGGCCATATGCCATATATTTGTTTATTGAGCTTGAATGATTCTATTTTGGGACAACCCATGAGAATTCAGAACATAAAGGCGGATAGACTCAGGAGTTCCCCTTTTTAAAACATTAACATTGTTGTTTGTAGATATAAATCATAAATAATGAACTCATAACACAAGTTCAATTTTTTAAAATATCGCTTTATGCATGTTTATGCATGCCTATGTACTTAAACCTTTTTTAATAATATTTATATGTACATACTCTGTTAGCAGTGATCCAGTTTCAAAAGATGAGGAACAGCAATATAAATGTAAAAAAAGAAAATAATAATTCAATTATTTCAATAAACAAAAGTAATATTTTATGCAACATTCATAATTTATGCACTGTTAACGTTAGGTACAGGAAGATAAAGATATTGATCGGAGAGTAGGGCACAGACATTCGCCTTGACTTTTAGATAATGATAATGCAATCGGCCGTGCGACTGGAAATCGAGTAATATGGATTTCTGTTGGCTAGGACAGCTGCCATTTTCCACCAGTAAGCAGGTAACAGCTTTTCATCACATTATCTACAAATTAAAACTTTTTTTCTAAATACATTATTTCTTAAAAGCAAGAGAATAATATTTTCCTTTCCCCTTAAAACTGTGTAGTTCTGCACAAATTTTCAATTGAGATCATGCAATTTTTGCCATGACACGTACATGTGAACTTCAAATCAAAGAAAGTCATTTTTATGTTACTTTCACAGCTTACAATATTATCAAGAATAGCAAGAAATACGTTTTTGTATTCCATGATTTTAAGTTAGCAAAAAGAGGAAAATATATATGGAATACTAATATATAATTATCTCATCAGTTCATAAAAATCACCAACAATTTATTAGTTGATCTACAAAACTTTATTTACCAATTTTAGAGGCCAAGGGTCTTGTCATGGACCCTCGTACAAGTGCCCAGCACGTGATACACTGTGACACGTGTGAGACTGTTAAAGTACAGATGCACTGTGACACGTGTCTCGTAATCCTATGCAAGGCCTGTGTGGGAGAACACATCTCTACTGATGTATCCAAGGATCATAAAGTGGTCAAATATGAGTTGAGGAATTCTACTCCCCTTTACCCCGAATGTGCCTCTCATGGAAAAGAACGATGTGAGATGTTCTGTAGAAACTGTGACATTTCCGTCTGTGGCAGTTGCCTTTCCTCTGATCGGCATATGAGCCATAAATTATCTAAAGTTGTAGAAGTTCTGGATGAAAAGAAAGATAAGATAAACAAATACAAATCTGAGTTAAATGAAAACGTTAATCCCAAATACCTGGAGATGGAATCTAATATACAAAACAAAATAAGTGAGTTAGAAAAGGAATATGAAAAACTCTTAACCTCCATAACAAAACAGGGAGAGGTCTTGCAAGGAAAAATCAACAAACTTGTCAATCAACTTAAAAACCAAGTTAATGAAATGAAGAGATCGCAATTACAAACTTTAAAAAAAATTCTTGATGAAATCAACAAGAAAATTATTAACATAAGAGATGAAATCAATGTATTAGATATTGCAAAAGACTCAAATGACTTTTCAAAAATCTTCAGCTTACAAGTCTCTATAGAACAACATAAAAACTTTCCAAAAATACCTATTTTGTCTGCCCCAAACTTTACACCGAAAGTTATCCAAGAAGACGAACTTTGTTCTCACTTCGGAAATTTCTCTTCAATTCCTCTTAAATCAAAACAATTTGGAAACATTCCGGAAACACCAAAAGAAATCTCACTTAAATCACATAAGAAAAGTCCCCCTCATTCAGTTAAACAGGGATCAGTAAAAGTTTCTCTTCCGTATAAAAAGCTGCGTAATGAACCAGAGATTTTCGACAAGCGCATTTATCATTATGGCCGCCTTCGAAATATTGCATGTTTGGGTGATGAAAAAATATGGGCCTGTGATGAATGCTGTACTATGACACTCTACAGCATAAATCAGGGTTTAATCAAGTCAATCAGAACAAGGACAATAAACAGGAGCCCAACAGACATAGCAGTCACAAGAGGTGGAGAGCTAGTGTAAACAGATCAATGGAAGAGAACTATTAACATTGTGAAGAGTGGAACTAAAGAAGAAGTGATAAGAGTAGAAAATGGAAAACTCTAGGTGTCTGTAGGACCTCCACCCGCGACCTTCTCTTTACTATGGAAAGTGATGATAAACAGTCCAAAGTTGCCCGATACTCTGATTCAACAGAGAAACAATCCATTCAGTTCGATGATTAAAAGGCACCTCTTTATTCATCGGATGGTTCTCACAAATTTATATGTGAAAACAGGAACCTTGATATCTGTGTGGCTGATTGTGGAGCTAAAGCAATAGTGGTGGTCAATCAGGCCGGGAAACTGAGATTCAAATATTCTGGACAAGCTCCTCTTCCAAGGTATAGAGCATTCCAAGAAGAATCACTAGAGACAGTCTTGTTCGGGCGATTTTATTTACTGCAATTGATATGCCAACCATGTGGTGCTATAGGTGTAATTAAGTTCATAGCTTATTAAAGATATCATAATGTATTATGTGGGCAGTAATAAAACCATAATGATAATCGATAGAGTTTTTAAATAATAAAAAACTTTTATTTCAAAATAAATGTTAATTTATATTGGCATGAGACTGGAGTCCGATCCTTCTAAAGAAAGCATATAAATTGAGGTCCTTTGAAGACGTCGTTGCTGGCAAGAAAAATATCCCCATCACTGCATGCTCAAAGGCTGTAAACCGAAGTACAATTCAAAATTTCAAGCCTTTTACAGGAAAGTGTTGTCATCTCAAATGAGTGAACACTCGTTGATGGAACATTATACAAATAGACAAACAAATAAATTGAAATAATTATTCTAATAATCTATAATAATATACTACAAAATGTTTCGATATCTGATGTTAATGTAAGTATATTTTGGCTAAAGCTGATACGGGATTTTTCTAACAGACGAATGTGCGATTTGCATGGCCTTTATTAAAAATATTGATCTTTGATTGTTTGCTGTTTGGCAATATTTGGCACTAGATAAGTTATGGAATTCGATATTATACAAAACATGGTAAATTGTCTTTTATTTTTATTTGACTTGGTATCTTTTGCAGTTCTACTAGGAAGTGAATTCTTAAATGCAATAATTTTTTTTTATTCTTAAAGAAAAAAAAATACAATTTGTAATTTACAGTGAACTTTTTTGCTTCACTGTGTTAATTTAAAACAAATAATTTGCGACTGAAACCGTTATTCATCGTTATTGGAAGTAACGATATTTCACTTTTTTCATTTAACAATGAATGTTTTATATAAAGGTATATTACAGCAAAATTTGTTCGCAAAAATTTTGCACAGTCAACAAAATTCGAAATCAGCTGATATATGTTTTCATTTGGTAAACGTTACACAGATATAATCCAAACTAAATTAGACGCAACTGTATACTTAACTATGATCTACTCAAAAGAAATATTATTAATTGCCCTTTATGGTCATGTGGAAAGAATGAAGATGTTTATCTTTTTTTGCCTGTAGGAATTATCCAAAAGCTATAGGAGTAATCTTTTTACTCGACTATTTTTACTTGACGAATTGGTCAATATTAATTTAAAAAACAAATGTTATTATGTGGTGATGTTAATATGCCTGTAGAAACTAATACATATATTTTTGCTGCTGTGCATAAATTTTTTGATGAATCCTGTAGATTTTAAATTATTATGTAACTGAGTAAATATTTCACTTGTAACTCTTTTGTATTTATACTTCTATGTACTACAGGTATCTTAATTGCATGACATATAGTTATATTAAAGGAAAGGAAGTCGTAAGTTGTAAGAACTTGTTTTTGATCCTTTTGTTTATACAGTAAAATATGTTCAAAACTGAGAGAGAGAGAGAGAGAGAGAGAGAAAGAGAGAGAGAGAGAGAGAGAGAGAGAGAGAGAGAGAGAGTTTGATATTCAAAAATTCGATACTGCACTAATCTTTTTAGAAAATACAAAAGAAGACGTTTTTCTTTGATATGAATTTTTCCGTTTTCATATACAAGAATTTACCTTAGTGTTAAATTTCCACCTAGAAACAATCCCCCCCCCCAAAAACAAGGTGGGGAGTCTGGAATTAGGGATCAGGGAGTACATGTACATATCCAAGATTCTACCCAGCACCCTCGAGCTCTTTCAAAAAAATAATAATAAACTTGCGTAATCCTTGAGAAATTATTTGTGTTTCTTTTTCTGTATATTTTGTTTCATATTGCACAATCCATTATAACTGGTTATTACCTGTTCACGTTTTCAGTTGATCGATGAAATACCAGGCCTACTCTAAATATTAATGTGACACAATTAAAACCCAACTCGGACAAGTGCAACATTCCGGAATTAACACCCGATAGAGGACTTTTTAAATTATTTTTTATAAAACTAAAGCACCGCTTTCAATATTTTTTTTGCATTTTATGTACCACACAGATAACGAAACATGTGTTAGGTTTAAAATAATTAAGATTTGAGTTAATTGATAATTAAAAGTTAGAGGGGTCCGAAATGAAGGGGCAAAAGCACTATGCTAAATTGGAAACATTTTTTAAAATTTTTATTCTTAATTTCTAGGAAAAGTGGTAATCCTTTTTGTATTAATGAACAAAATTAAACTTTAATGCAGATATATAATTACATGTATTTTCAAACTGTTTGAAAGTAAAACCCCTTTACAAATCTTATCATTCGGCTCTTAGTGGTGTGTTCAGAGTTTTGCAAATGATACTAACCCGTGAAACGTACACAGTTTTTGTAAATCGTACACGCGAGCTCTGTTATTGTGAAGGTTTGGGATTCTACTCTACTCAACACAACTGCAAAGACTGATAATATACTGTGTGTATGTTTTGCTTTCGAAAGTTTCTACTCTGAATTTTCTGGACTATAGTTTTAATATTTTTCATTAATACACAACAAGACTGCCACTTTTCCTTAGTAGTATTAAGTATGAAATTAAAATTTGTCAAAGTGCAAGGATGTGTCAATCAAACCCGTACAAAAATTTGAAGTTTTTTTTAAATATAATTTTTAGTTGAAATAAGATTTTTAATATATTTCCATGTGAACTTCTATCGACATATATAATTCGTGACATTATACAGAAAATTTTAGAAAATATTAACTTCAAATCTGTGTCTATGCACAATTGATTACTAGTAATTCGAAATATTTACATTTGTAAATATTTTTTCTTACATGAACCTATTGAAGAGAAAATGTGTTCATATATCTGTATGTATTCTGCTTTAAAACACACGACTGTGTCCTATTTTCTTTTACCTATATACGAGAGTAATTTTGTGATATTACATTTCAGTATAACCTGATAGTAATGAAAACATCAATGACAATGCTATTTGTAAAAGTAAAAAAAAAAATGTCGTGCGCCGACCACCGATATTTAACACCCTTTAAATGCTGATTTTATGCATAAAACACCACAGGTCTATGATATTTAGTCAAAATAAAAAAATAGCATTATCCTCATGCATGCAAAAAAATTTTAGCATTCATTGAGAAGTATTTGAAATATTCAAAAAGTTTGCGTTTATCTGGGACAAACCTCGTACAAGAAATACAATACATATCAAGAACGTTCTTATAATGATGTGAAAATAATTCCTCTCAAATCGGCAAAAATTAACATCTGATTGAATAACAGTTCAGCCTTCATACATGTACATGTCTTTAAATTCATCAAAATAACTTCAAGGTCAAGGTCAAAAGGTCATATTTGGTGGTACCCTAGGAAAGATCTTTTCACAAGTAATACACAAGTGAAATCTCGAAGTCAGATCTTTTCACAAGTACTACACATGTGAAATTTTGAAGACATAGCTTCACTGAATCAAAAGTTATGGGCAAGTTTAAAGTTTTTGCGGACAAACAGACAAACAAACAGACAGATAGGCAGCCAGACAGATAGATAGATATATAGACGGACAGACGGACACGACAAAAATTCGCTTCGTGATCGGGAGGCCTGGTTTCTATTCTCTTTCGCAGTGCCGCGTCAAAGCTAGAACGTAAACCTTAAATGTAAACAAAGCTAGTGACTATTCACCAAGCGCTCAGTATTAGAAGTGAAAGTTATAGATCTTTCCGATATAACCTTAAAAATATAGGTCTCCTTTGAGGGTAGGGGTTGGCATGATAAAGAACACTCAATGGCCCTGAGTGCCCTGAGCGCCCAGTGTAGGTCTAAAGTTGAAGCCCTTCATTGGTTTATGGCGACGTCTCTATATGAGTGAAAATTCTCGAATGGCATGCTAAACAACATACAAACAGTTAATCAATCTTATCGCGGCATTATTACGTAAAAAGATATTGTCAGTCTTTGGTGAAAAGAACACCCTTTGGATGATTTAAATCTCCTTTCAGAACAGTTAACCAAACAACAATGGCCATTGGAAACCATATCGATAACTGCAATTTATAAAATGGAGTCAGCATCCGACATATTAAACCATTTATCTAAAATATTATTTCAAAAATGTATTAACTGGACTTGGATTTTTTAAAGTATGGATGGTTAAATTTGTTTTTTTATTTCCGCATATTTAAGGATACAATTGACCATATCCCTAGTTCTCTCTCTACTGAAAATAAAATAGCTTACTCCACGTTTGACAGTTTTGCATGGACATATAAATAAACTAATGAACTATTACCGTTAACATATGTAATGAGACTGATTTTGTACGATACCGGTTGCATTGTGATGCATGTCTTGTCAACCTGTGCAAGGCCTGCGTTGGAGAACACATATTAAAACATAAATCTAAAGACCAAGGAATGATGGTCACATTTGAATCAAGAAATTTCAGTCTTCTCTGCCCTGGATGCGCCTACTATAAAAAAAAGATGCAAGAAGTCTGCAGACATGACATTCCGGTCTATCGCACATGTTACAGCACCTTATCAACATCCCAACATCTTAGTCATAAGTAAGGCAAAATCCTGCATGTTCTGGTTGAAAGGGAAAATTGATCAGGGAAA